CAATGCTGGCCGGGGAATTCTGGGAGTGGAGGGCCAGACATCTTAAAGTTGCCGAGGCTGAGAAACACTGATATAAAGTCTGCCCAATTAGCCTCTCTTCACTTCCTATTAAGAGATCTGTACTTTGGAGTCCTTGGGGTTCTCTGAGCTTGGTTCTTTTCTTGCAAACGTTTCACTACCCGGCTAGATAACATCTTCAGTGCTAAAATGGGATGAGGATTTGCTCTCTATTTATCTGCTGTGGCCTGCCTTGCCAGGGCGGGTGGGGGTTCTGTTTTGCTCTTCTGTACTTTGCACCTAAGGCTGGAAAGAGCTTCAGCTTAACACATTGATTTTTATTTTTTTAAACATGCGGGACTAAGAACTGCTTATTCTTTTGTCAGCAAAACCTTGGGAAAGTCCTCAGCATAACCTAATGCCAGCTCTCCGCGTCACAGGCCCACTAAACACTGCAAATGCTTTTCATGACTCCATCACTGAAGTCCATACATGGCTTTCATAGGAGCTACAATGTTCCTTTTCCTCTTCTTGTCACCATCCTGTTGACTGAAGACTTCTTAAAAGCTGAAAGCGGTAAATCTTCAGGTCCCTAATATGGGCGCGGGAACCCGCGTACCTTGCTAACATGACGAGGGTTGCAAAAGTCTGGACCGCTAGATGGCAGAGTTTTATGCGGCCTCCGTCCGGATTTTTTAAACCCCAATCCGCTAGCCCTAATTTATTAACGCCTTAAACATCTAGGATTTACCTCTTCTCTTTGCCATAGGTGGACTAGTTTGCTATAACTTGAATGCTAACGTTCCAGATAATAGGTTTACTCTATCCTTTCGCTGTTTCTAAGTTCCTCGAATTCTCCTTTTAGAAATTTCGGGTTGTCCCCCTATTGGTCGAGAATCAATATTTCAGACAGCACGTGACGTTACGTCTTCCGCCATCGTTCGAAGGAGCCTTCGGAATAATAATAACCATGAAAAATGCTCGCTTTTCATTGGGTTCGCGAGAGCCCGCCTTCTACCTTTCTATTGGCAATTTTGTAGTTCTCCTCTTTTGATTTGATGTGATCAGAGAAAGGGGATGGGAAAGAAGAGGGATTGAGTACTGCGGTGATATTTCTGATTGGAGGTTCAGACATTTTTCCCCGCCTCTCAACTTCTGACGAGGGAGGGTAAAGGCAGCTTCGAATTCTAGAGTCTGGCCGCTTCGCTTCTTTTCGCGCATGCGCGCTGTGTGGGAAATGTGACCTTAATGTTTAGGTTCAGGCATCTACTGAGGCTTCGTGCTTCGAGTCCGATCAGCCTTCGTAGCTCGGGTCAAGTTCAAAAATCTTCTTATGCCATGGATTTAGGATCTCTTCGGAAAAACTACAGGGGGGACGAAGAGGTGAGACAGCTAAATGCCCTTCAAGGATTCAGCACAGAGAAAATGTTAGCAAGCGGTTGGCGATAGCCTCTGAACCTGTGCAGAGTGCATGGTGTTACTTGCGCTAGGCTTAATCTCGGGATCTGCTTCCAGGACCGGTGTTTTGTTTTGCCAGAAATAATAATGGGACCCTAAAAATGGTGTTTTACAGAGTGCCCTTTTCTTTAGCCGGGGATCCGATCTCGGGAATGGTTCTGATGGATAAATGGATCTTGGGTTATTTAAAACATGCACGATTTCAGGGTCGCATCAAGCCATTTTATAGCTTTACAACAGCAAAAATGAATAGTAAACAATGAGATGAAATATTTAAAGCAAATACTGTATGTCAAATTAAAATGGCCGGGAAACTATGTATCTTTCAAGTGTTTGGATAGGCGGTAACTCCTGAAGGCAAATTTGACTTTTTAGTTAAAATAAGAGTTAGAAGGTCAGTTATGAACAAGGGCTGTACAAGTGGAGATGTTTGAGCGATGATAGGCACTTATAACAAAGAGGCGGTGAGGGAATAACTGCAGGATTGTGATAGGAAAGGCTGAAGAGTGGTGCTGCTAGATAATTTCAATCTTGGGCTGAATCATTTTATAGGAGAGGAGTCTTTAGACTGCCTTGTGCATTTTTTCTGTTGTGAAGGACCCAGTGACATCTTTCCCTTGAACCATTTTCCTTGTTGCTTTACAACTGCATCTACATTTCTCTTACTACCCACAACAACAAAAATGGGGGTAGTTTGCAGTGGTGGGAAAAACAGAAGTAAATCCTCTGAGCTTGTGCATTTTTACAGGTTCATCTCACTGAACAGGGTTAAGTAAACACCATCATGACTCCAGGGATCAAATGGAATCATTTGACTGTGGAGATCAAACTGAATTGAGTTTTGGTTTCCTGACACTAAACCCATTTCTACCATTTTATTGTAGAAAGTGAGTTTTTCACATTAAAATGATAGGCACTTGTCAACTGTAGAAAGGGGGCTGTTCTTTGGATATCTAGACATCACTGGAAAGCATGTACAGTATCAAAATCAGAGAAGCAGTGGGAATGGATGAAAGCAGTAAAAGAGACCAGCCTCATTTCAAAGAGGAGGAAATTGGCACTTGTAATTGAAAGGGATTGCTAAACACGTGCATGCTTTCTACTTCCACCCCTCTAGGCCTTTGAGGAAAAACATCTCACCTCCCTTAATCCCATTAAACAATTCTCCGCATGGTTTGAAGAGGCTATGAGGTGTCCGTCTATTGGAGAAGTCAATGCTATGTGTTTAGCCACTTGTACCAGGTAGGGTTTGGTTCCTCATGGCTTATCTTTCTTTATTATCTGTCTGTGTTTTATCTGTCTTTCTGTAATCTGGTTTTATCTCTTCCCAGGGAAGGAAGACCTTCTGCTCGGATGCTACTTTTGAAGGGATTTAACCAGGAAGGCTTTCGTTTCTTTACCAACCATGAGAGCCGGAAAGGAAGGGAATTGGTGAGCATTGCCTTATGAAGAATAGTTATTGGAGAGAGACTGAAGCTCATATGCTGAAAGTCTAAGTTATGTGTGAAGCTGATCTATGCACTGGTGGCGGGGCGGGGGGGGGGCAAGGAAAGGAAGCCACAGATCAGTCAAAATTTTGCCCAGTTACACACAGTTTATGGAAATGTGAAAACTTTGCTTATTTTGCATAATTCTGCTTTTGTTAGTCATGATTTCATGAAAACATTCTAGAACCTGGACATAATGGTCTTACCAGAGCTCTCCCATTTGTTATTACTGAAGTTGTGAGACGTATTTCTCTTACTTCCATGGTTTTACATTCCACGTATGTTACAGCAGCCTTTCTGGGGCCTGCTGACCTACAGATGCATTGGACTATAACTCTTATGATTCCCATCCTGGCTAGTGGTAATGGAAGTTGTTGTCCAAATGTGTCTGGGGGGTACACAGTGAGGAGGTTATGTGCTGGGTGGGTGCTTACAATATTAATAGTTTAAATAACTTCTGTGGATGTTTGCTTCTGTTGCACTGATGCTAAAGTTACTTAACTTGGGGGAGGGAAACTTTTAAACATAATAAAATGAGCATGGATCATCTGGCTAGCCAGTTGGCCTTTAACTATGAAATGCTGAAAGGAAGCAGGCTTCAGTGAACTGCAGCCTATCTGACATGCCCATAGAGGTGCTGAGGCTAGGCCCAGCATCTCCTGTTCCTCTCTGGGTCGTAAAGACCAAGAACGAAGGGGCTGCAGCACTATTGGAGGTATTACAGAAGCCATTTCTGTGTTTTGAGCTCCTTCCAGTTTAGAACAACTGGTGTTCTGGGTATTCCTACTTGTTAGGATCTTATTACTGCAAAACAGACAGTTCAGGCAACAAGGAACACCAGCTGAAGAAAGGCAGATGCTGAAGAGTATACTCTAGCGCAGGGTTCCTCAACCTTGGCAACTTTAAGACGGGTGGACTTCAACTCCCAGGGAAT